CCTATCTTTCCGGCAGTCTTTAGGGGCATTTTCTCAGTTGATGACTGATATGAGCAGGCATGGGGACAGTGCCACCCCTGGAGAGATGCCATAGAGAACAAGCCAGAAAACAGTATTCCTCCATGGTCTCTACCTCAGTTCTTGCCTCTAGGTTCCTGCCAGAAGTTTCTACATCAACTTCTCTCAGTTATGAGTGTGACTTGAGGGTTATAATCTGAAATAAACCCGTTCCTTTCCAAGTGGCTTCTGGTCATGGTGTTCTGTTACAGCACTAGAAACCCTGAAACACAGGTAGTTTATGACTTTCAGTGCTTGACTTTACCCAGAACATCATTTCTCTAGCTAACTATCCTGTCTGTCATACCTCTCTACAGCCCCAGCTTCTGGTATTCACGTTCTAGTCTTTCCCTCTGAGAGACCACCTGTGTTAGACTCCTCAGTCATTGAGATCATGTAGCCCTTGTCATTCTGTGCCTGGCTTATGTCAATTAGCATAATGTCCTCCGGGTTCCTCTATCTTATATCAAAAACAGAATGTATCCGGGCGGTGGTGGTGCACGCCTTTAATCCCAGCACTTGGGAGGCAGAGGCAGGAGGATTTCTGAGTTCGAGGCCAGCCTGGTCTACAGAGTGAGTTCCAGGACAGCCAGAGCTATACAGAATGTAATGTTTTTGATTGAATTATTCCAGTACAGAATAAACATTGAAAGTGATGGGTATGTTCATTGTGAGAGATCAAACCTACTCCATCTTGAGACTGGCCTCCATCTTAAAGAAAAAAAAAATGTCTGAGAACTTGACCTGCTAAACCCAAGTACCAGGAAGGACCCCACGGCTTGTCCTTGGCCCATACCCCAGAGTTACTCCCTGGCTACTTTCTAGCAATGATTAATCAAAGATTAGTCTGATTGTTTCAGATGTACTTTGAGACTGATATTTGTGACTATTCATAGTCTTGCTTCAGAGCACCCACCTGTTGCCTTACAATAGACACTCAGCTAGATACTTGCCAGACTGGACACCCTCTCACTCTGATTCCCTATAAAACCTTGTCCTGCTGAAGGTTCGAGGCTGCTCTGCCTTCCCTTCCTGTCCTGCTGTGTCAAGGTGGGGTTGGAGGAGAGCCCAAGCCCGAGCTTATAATAAAGAGACCCTAATGCAATTAAATTGGAAATGGCTCCTTGGTGGTCCTTTGGGGTTCACCAATGCTTCCTGGCACAGGAATTGTCATGATTTAATCATAGTGCAATATATTGAAACATCTCCCTGTACCACATAAAAAAGTTCCACTATTATGTGCTTATAAATATAAAACAAACAAAAAACCAGCAAGAGGTTGAATACAGAATAGAAATAAGAAAAACACTGAAGATTTGCAAAATTAGAAGCCTATCAGTATTATTCTTTTTATCCTTTGAAAATAGTTTTAAAATAAAATTATATCTCTTTTTTTTCCATTTGTGTGTGTGTGTGTATGTGTGTGTGTATGTTTTGCATGTGTGTGGGCATGTGTGCATTTGGGGTTACTCACAACACGTGTGTGAACATGCATGTGGAAAGCTGAGGTTGGTGCTAGGTATCATTCTTGACAGTCCTTCCATCCTGTTCTTTGAGACAGGTTTCTCTATCAAACCCAATATGGCTAGTCTCACTAGCCAGCCTGCTCTGGGATTCCTTTAGCTCCACTTTCAGAGAGTAGATATATAGGTGAGGCTCCATATCCACCTGGCATTGATATTTGTTCTGGGGATCTGGTCCTCAAACTTACATGGTCCTTGCTTTATTCTTTAACCACTGACCTATCTCTCCGATCTCTTAAATGTTTATTGCTGATAAGATCTAAAGCGTTGACTACTGTTACTTATTACATGTTCAGTTTTAACTTCCCCCTTCTTTTGACACAGGGTTCTCTTGTAGCTCAGATTGGCCTCCAACTTGCTAGATAGGCTTCATGGGTCTGTCTCTTGACTGCTGGCGTTACAGGTGGCCACCACCATGCTTGACTTCCAGTTTCAATTGCTAATACAAATATCAAGAGACACAAACTCAGAAAAGAAAACTAAGAGTCTATAGTCTTCTTCAAGACTTCTTCTATAGTCTTCAAGAGTCATGAGACCCGGTGGGGAGGAGACCAGATGACCCCTTGTTGCCATACTAGTCCCCAGAGTCAACTTACACCTAGAGTTATTTCTCATTTGACTCGCTTTATTTGACTCCTGTCCTGTTTTCAATATGTAATATTAAAAGGTTTTATGCAACACCACGGAATTTTCAATTTTGCTGAAAAGATGGATGGACAGTCTGTACTGGATCCACATCTTTGCTTGGTCCCCTGAGTTGTGGCTGCCCTTTTCTGGACACATGCTCTCCCATGACCCTCCATTCCTACTCTCTGCTCTTGAGGTCCTGCATTACTCACAGGCTTGCTTATATCCCTGAAGCATCCATACATGTATCTAGTCTATACAGTATCCTTAGTGATTAGATGGAAGGACGAGCTGGTAGTGTCCTGAGGATCTACTGCTCCCATGCAAGAGAAGATCCCACGAAAGGAAGATGGCATCCTCAGATGAGAGAGATGTTCCCAAATTAGGGGCAAAGGTCTCTATGTGTGTGTTTGACATGTGCATGTGTATGTTTGTATGTTTGAATCTATGAATGCAGGTATGTGCACATAATGTTGGAGACAATTTTGGATGTCAGGCTTCATCTTCTACTTAGAGGCAGTCTTCCAGGGTTTGCTGATGTGTACAGCAGGATAGCTGTGCGCTCCCAGGATTATCTTGTCTGCACCTCCCATGTCACAATAGAAGTGTCGTGATTACAGACACAAGCTGTCATTTCTGACTTTAATTAGGTTCTGTGGATTTGAACTCGGGCTTTGATGCATGACAAGCAGTTTAACCCACTCTCTTACAGATTTCCTAAGGATCTGCTATTAATATAACCATGAATGAGTATAGTGCAAGAGGGTAGAGATGGAGATTTCCACATGAATTTGGGTTCAGGATCCAGAGTATCCATTCAAATTCTGGCTTCGCTAAGGAAGCCATGAACATTTTCAGGCTGGTGACAGCATTCCTCTGTTTAAGCTATTTTTTCCCCAAACTTTGTTTTCCTGAGTTTTTGCTCATTCTTTTTTTGATCTCATTTCACTAAAATTTTTCATCAATGTGCTTCTGCCTGTCAATCAAGGGAACAGTTTTGCCTTGTTTTGATGTTTTAGAGCAGGCTATTCTGAAAACCACATGGACACTGAATTCAGAGGGAGCTGTTCTTCCTCACTTTGGCCAGCAGTACATGTCTTTCTCGTCTTTCCTAGACTTCTTCCTTTGACTCTATTTATTTCACACAGTTGATGGAAATCCTTAATTTCCACATTTTTCTTAAAGCCAAAGCTTCCATTCTGGGTAGTCAGAAGCATGTCCCTTCCAGAAGCCAGCTGATTTCAGTTAAAAAGGGGTGGGGGTCAACTTAGAGCAAAAGCTGTTTCGATTGATATCAACTTGCTTAGCTGACAAGAGCAGAGACATGGGGCTAGCTTTCCTTCTGCCAAATAAATTACTAAAGAACCTTCAAGTATTAAACAGGTGCCCTTTCTGTTCTGGCTGTATACATGTTGTGGATGTCATGCTTCTTTGGAGTCATGTGATGACCCCTTAGATTTGACCATTTTCCCCTCCCATCCCCAAGTACGTGTGTGTGTCTGCATGTGTGTTTAAAATATGTTCATATGTTACTTATATGAAATACACATACATGTATCTTTTTTGTTTCATTTTGCCTGCTAAAACTGGTCATAAAAAAAGGAGACAGCTTTCAATATCTAAGGTTAATGAAGGGAACCAAAGACATCAATGGTGTCTGGCTTTTATATCTGATTTGGAGTAGTTTTACGGAAGAGAATGGTAGTTGGATTACAGGATGGAGGGCTTAGCTCCCCAGACTCCTCTATGTACTCATTCCAGCAGATGAGATTTAGCCAAATTGCTACCAAGGCCTGAAGAGCTGACTCTGTCCCACCCAGTTTCAGTAGAGGGTGTACCTGTGAGTTCTCTATTTAGAAGGTATGTACTGAGAAGCCTGTCCTGGGAGATGGGTGGCAGGGTAGGTAAAATCCAATTTCCACTCCTCATAGAGAGCCTGATACTATGATCGCCAGTGAGATTAAGTGAGCACGTACACAACAAGAACTTAGAATGCTGTCCCAGTCACCTCTTGTTACTGACAATGGTTGTGCCCTTCCACAGTTCACATATGAAAGACCTGGTGCCCACTGTGATGCTATTAGCAGGTGGACACTCTGTGAGATGACTGGGTAATGAGGAAAACATTCTTGTGGGGGGATTAGTGTCCTTATAAGAACAGAGAACTCTTTAATTATGCTACTGTGGGTAGCTTAATTCTAGAAATCTGGGGTAAAATACCCTTAAATGACCGTTGAGTACTATGCTTACTATTTGGGTCAGGGGCTGAACTTGAGTCTGGCTATGAAAAGAGAAGTAAACTGCCTAAATGTCTGCTAGGCAAATTGGACTCTGTCCTTTCTAATTCAACATCCCAGGGAGTCTACACTGAGTGAAGATATCCCAGCAGATATAGGAGGATGGCATGGGATACCATTGTCATGGCACTTAAGGACAGTCACAAACACTCAACCCACCTGTTAAATCTATCTCAGGTCAGATATAGATCAGAGGCTACATTGATAAGTCTAATTGCTTTTTCACTCGTTTTATTGTTCACCTCTGTATTGACTAAGCATCTACTGAGTACTTCCTACATTCCAGGTTCATAGACACAGATGTTCATACACTGGCATGGGGTTAGAAACAGTCATTAGGTATTTCTGTTATATAGAGCTTAATTATTTCAAGTTAGAAGCAATGATGAAGCACCACTGTCCCCTGATGTCCCCTTAAGCATGTGACATACACACCTCACTGGCAGGGAATTGCTTCAAAAAGAGGAACAAGACTACAACTCTTAGAAAAAAAAGATTCTGTAAGTACCCAATTTATTCAGAAAACAATACAATCTAAACAGTTGTGACTTTTTTTTTCTGTCGTACATTTTTTTAAACCATCATTCCCAAAATGTTATGCATTTGGTTGACATGTATTTGCAAGATAGTCTATAATTCTAGCTCTGGAAATTGTACAAGACATTTTATTTGTTTAATTATTATTGTTTCCCCTAAAAAAACAAACAGAACCAAAACCTACCCCAACAACAGAATTCTTTTACTTTGGATACATTTCACTATTTTTCTGACCAAAAATAAGTTACATTTTGTGCCTTTGATAGCTTATAAAACATTTGTCCATTTCTCCAAGAAAGGATGAGAAGAGGTCATTGTTTTGGTTTAAGACTTCCTTAGATTCAGACAAAATATCCCCACCCTACCTGATTCAGGGCATTTCTGCTTGTGGACGTTAGCAGTATTAGTTAGTCAGGATACAAAAGAGGCCAAAAGAAGCCCCCAACAGTGAGCTCAAAGACCGAGCAATTAGAATGGAAACCTGGGCAGCTATTTGGAATGAATAAGATTCCACTCAAGATCCACGGGAGGAATCTTGGGAAATAATTTCTAGGAACTGACATAAAAATGGAACCACCCATGCAGGGAGCTGTGGTGCCTCTTTTAGCCAAGCAGGAGCAAGCTGAAAGGAGTGCTCCTCAGTCCCGAAGAGGAAGTGGCAGGGCTGTAAAGCAGGCTGATGTGGGGTGGACGGCTTCTGGAATCAATCTCCTTACCTTCTAGTCTCATCTCAGAGAGAGACTGGCCCTCTAAACTACTGGGGGCACAAGAGGTGGCATGAACAAGCAGGCTAGGAGCTGCTTTGTTTGGCATGAGCTCTGTGGCAAAAGCCTCAAGTTCAGAACCTCATTAGTCCTTGTGCAGTGCAAGGAATGCATTAGCATCACTGAGGACCACATAAGAAGTGCAGAACCTCAGGCCCTGCATTAGAAAGCTTCATTAGAAGAAGATTCTTGCAGAATTTTTGTCTATGGGAGTGTGTAAAGATGGGTTCTGGGATAAATGACCCAGGCCCGCTTCACAAAAGACTACCTCTAGGTACATAAATTTATTTAGTAGAGAGAGACCATTCTCAGCAGGGAGAGATTATAGATAACAACTGGAAAAACAGTGTAAGGTTATTTTTATTATAATTATTTTAAACATGCAAAATACAGTCCATGCATCTGCCATTTTGAAAAGTCTCTCATCCTATAGGAGATTAAGCCAAATATACGTTTTGGCTATCAACATTCAAGAAATGTTTCAAAATGCTTTACAGTGTAAAGATAATAAGAAATTTAGCAAAATTTCAACAAACCGGTATAAAAATGGATACATATGCCATTTTAATTTCAAGGCGACATGCTGTAAAGAGTATGTTATAGCTGTATTTCATTGTAAAAAGTCTTTAACAATACAAGGGCTTAACAGATCCAGACCTTGGGGGTACACATGCAAAAAAAATGTCAGTTAGTTAAAAACCATCAAAACGTGCTATCTTTAAATGTATATTATTGTTTTTGTTGTTATTTTAAAGTACAAGGATAGAATAAACAGTGCTTCAGAATTCTGTAAGAGTGTGGCGTTCACGGTGCCAGTGTCCGGGACGATTCATACACTTCCGATGAACACTTTGGTTTAATCCCTTTACCATTGTAATAGTCCACGACTTGATTTGGGACTTCGGCCAACACACTCTTTGCAAGGGCAGCTGGCGACGCCTGCAGGGAAGAAGAGACAACAGTCACCTGAAGCGGACACAGACTCTAATGCAAAAATCTGAGCCCTGCCTTGAGTGGGACAGTCTCGATCGTTCCCTCAGCCATCCAACCATCACCCACTCCGTGTTCACGCTCTGTATCTGCAAATGTAAACTCACATCTGAGGATGGACTGTTCTGCAGGATTTTGCTTTGTTTTAAATTTTGCATTCAATTTTAGATACTTATGTTCCGGTTGCTATGCCAGAAGCGGTGGAACTCTGGAACCAGTAAGAGTCATGTGAAGGTGACTCGTCATGGCCAAGTTCAACCCGTCTTTGAGGTACCAGGCTGTAAACGCTGCCCACCAGCGATGATATCACATCAGACAGATACTTCCCAACAGTGCAGATGCTCTGAATGGGGATCTGTATTTCTAACACAATGCTCTGGTGATTCCTGTTGAAATCTGAGATGTGCTGTTACAGAAAGTCACAAACACTGTGAGACCAAGTCATCCCAGAAGAAATGACAGCATGCCTCCAATATTTAACTTGGGCACATATTTAAAATTTGGGGGCGAGGGGAGTGGGATTTGAGGATTCTAGAGACAGCAAACATCTGATGAAGAAATGCATCTGAAGAAAGAATGCATGCTCCTGTGTCGGGGTGGTGGTGGGAGGTGGATGGATTGTGGTAGTGGTGGTGGTTGTGGTAGTGGAGGTAGGGACTTGGTTTGGGTAGTCATTCAGTTAGAAAATGAGATTGAGGTGAGGATCTTGAATGGTCCTGTAGTACTGATCCTGCAGCAGAGAATGGTTTAAGAGCATAGTGGACTCAGGGATCATAGACAGCTGACCTGACTCTTGGGTCTGACCCTTAGTATTGACTTTGTAACCCCTGGGCAATCTGTTTTAATCGTCTGAGCCCCCATCTTAGCTATTGAAGGAATTGGAAGGTTGACAGGGTGACCAGTTAACAAATATTTGAGATTGCCAAGAAAGGAGAGCTAGCCCAAGGGCCAGCACACTGTGCTTCTAATCTTCTCTTTCTTAAACCATTTTGCTTCTGATCTCAGAAGCAAAATAAAAAGGAAACAGAAGTCCTGCTGTCTCATAATGGAGTAAGAAAAACAAACACACACTAAAAAACAAATTGATAGCTGAGAAGTCCAGAAGCATCATCACAAAGAGCTTCAGTTTCTGATGTTCATGTATGCATAGAGGCAGGAACAGACTTCATCTCTAACCTCTCCCTGCTTACAAAAGTTAGAAGGCCAAAACCCAACTTGGTTTCCCAGCATTTTCTACATCTAGAGATTGCCACACGGCCCAATTTGTCCTATGAGATGTAAGTGGAAATTTCCTAGATGAATTTTATAACTCCTTACTTCCTGTTTAAAAGGAACAAACCTAGTTATCTCTGTTTTCCTTTCCCTCTTCTTTTTTTCCCTTCAATGAGAACAATAATTCTTGGAAACAGACAGCCCTTTTATTTTCATGAAGACCCATCAAAGGAGACCATAAAGTACTGATTTCCACCCTTGGAATCAACCAAGAAAGGAGTGGTCTGAGCAACCATGGCTAACATTTAGTTACAAAAGAATAAGTTTGCTCACTCCTCATCAAAGACATTTCTTCCTGTAGCCTTCGGTGACAGTTGCTTTCTAGTCATAACTGGTCAAGGTGCAAAGAACAGTCAGTGGGCAGCCCCAGTTGATGTAATCACACACAATCCCTACACCCAGCTTTCAGGGGATGTCTCAGAAGAGGGGTTGGACAGATTATAAGAGCCAGAGGACCAGGGGATCTGCTGAGATAGTCCCTTTCATATATGAGAGGGGAGCTGTACTCCTTAAATCTCAACAATATAGTTGCCTAAACAAGAGCCGATAAACAACATCAGTTGACATGTCACTGTGGATAGGTGTAATCTCAGAAGGTCCTGTCCCTAGATGAAAGACTACTGGACATTAATGGCTGTTAAGAGGGACAGTTTTCTCCAGGGATGAGCTTCCCAACCCTGTGTGCTCTGCCCCAAATACATGTATGTGAATGCCAGAGACTGAACTAGGTCCTAGTGTTTGCACAGCAAGCACTTTCTAGACTGTGTCATTTCTCCAGCTTCAATTTTAGTGACTCTAAATGGAAAGATCCACTTGTGGTTAGTAGCTAGCTCACTGGAGAGCTCTGGTCCTAAGGGAGCCCCGTGTGTATCTGTGCTGGTACAGGGATATAGTCGTAGGAACATAAGTTAGATGGAAAAGAGCCAAATCCATGAAGTCAGTTGGGTAGCAGCAGTATGGGCAGTAGACACTAACCACTTCCATGGATCAGACATTGTACAGTCACCACCTTCTACCATCTAATGCATCTGTAGTGTTTGCCTCATATTACTAAAAGTCTGTGTCACTGAGAGGTTAAGCTATTTGCCTAGAGCCACATAGTTCAGAGCCTGTCCCGGTGCACTTTAATTCATCATGTTACCACGCAGAACAACAAAAGAAAGGCAACTCAGGGGTTACTGGTATGTGTGAAATATCAGCTCCTCACCCCCTTTTATTTATGGCTATTGAATTCTGAGTAGATTAGTTTGAATAATGAAATGTTTTTCAAAATCTAATTTGAAACCCAGGAAGATAAGGTAGGTGAGAATTCTCCTGTCACTCTGCCGGTGTCACCCCAGGGAGACTGCAAATGCACAGCACAGAGTATGAGATGGGCACCATGTCCTTGATCTGCTTGGGGCAGTTCTCCCATGGGACAATTCTTTTGTTTCCAGTCTCCCTTCAGTTCCTGTCATTTTTTGCCAATGCCTAGCTTAAACTGGAAGTTGTTGGCTGGCAGGGGTGGGAGGAGGGTTCTGTCTCTGCTCTGAAGTCATTTCAGGAGTGTAGGACCTGTGACTTGCAGGTCACATCAGCTACATGTAGCCTGGCCTCCAGAGACATGTACATACCTACCTACACACACATGCACATATGCACACAAACATAATACACACACACACACACACACACATACATATACTACATACACACACACACACACACACACACACACACACACTGGGACTAACTGTAGGTTATTATCCACCCATGGGCTGCTTAGCATATAGATTTTTTGCAAGTCTCAGAAAATTCTACAAAGCCTGGACTCATGCTTTCTTAGCTGACTGGTTTCCCAGTGGGTGCAGAGCAGAGGAACCTGAGTGGGTGAAGTCCTGAGTCAATGTGCATTGTTGATATGGGTGTGGCTATGTAAAGAACCTCAGTGCTTCAGCCCCATGGGAATGGCAACAGCCTTCCCGGAGCAAGGCTCAGAGGGATGCCAACGCCTTCCTCAGGTATAAATGAAGATGCCAATAGTGTGTAGAGAAAATGCCCACCATAGCTCCTAACACCATGTTTACAGCCTGAAAGCCTGGCCCCCCACAAAGGCTGCTCCTACCTCAATTAGGTAAGCCTGCCTCCTTAGTTCAGCTTCTCCCAGGGTTCTGTAGCTGTCACCAGAGAGACAAGTCCAACCCACCACACAGCTCTTCTGTGTGTCTGTGTGTCTGTGTGTCTGTGTGTCTGTGTGTCTGTGTGTCTGCCTTTTCTTTTGCTGCCCCAGTCAGGTCTGTCCTTGGAAGCCACACTGGATGAGGAACCAGTGTGTGTGGTGTGTGCTTTGTACAGTAAATACTCCATGAATTTGAGGCTTAGAAGGTGTTTTAGTAGAAGTCAGCACCTTTCATGGCTCGATGGCATTGCTCTTGTGTGGATACGTTGGGGAGCGTGGTAGCTAGTTTTAAATGCTAATTTGGTAGTGATGTATCTATTTTTATTTGTCCTGGCTGACAGAAGACCAGTACACTCTGTGAGAACAGCCTTCCCTCTACCCTAAGGGTGAAAGAATGTCACATGACATGTCTGTTAGAAGCAGAATGTCATGTGACAAAGCTGTGGCAGATTGAGCCAGCCCCAGTACACCCTTCTATGTGGACAATGCTAGGCCTTTCTGGCACTATACTTTGCTGTCTGTAGCAGACAACTTGAAACCTTGGACTAGCCTCAGATACCTTTTTTAGAAACCCTCTCCATGAGAAAGTGGAAGCTGGGATGCTGGGCAGTTATTCTTTCCTACAGCACTGACCTTAGATCTCGTGGTGAGATCAGCTTCCACTGCCACTTGAAAATGCCCTCTACACTCAGCTCTGCAGCAGGGGATTGATTTCCTGCTTGCTTAATGATTTTAATTACACTGAGGCCCTCTTTAAAAAGAGAATAGTGATCATGTGGCAATATGGTGAGGAAGAGATTTGGGGAGCCCTGGAGTGTATAGTCTCTTCCCTTAGAGGTTGGACAGGTCATAGAATCTAGGGTTCAGCTGAGGCTGTTTGCCTGATGCTAGTTCTGAATGACACTGCAAAGCCTGTCACAGAAAGGCAGAGGTACAGGCAGCCATGCCTGGAGAGTACACACAGAAAATAGGGCAACAGAGAATAGCTCTGTTGCTGAGAAGTGTGGCTGGGGTCCCAGGGTGAGTCCAAATTGGATTTGATGTGCTTGAGTACAACTGGTAAGTTGGCTGTAGAGAATGTTGGAAATCCATTTGAGCGAGAATCTCTGGAGCAGAATGGCTTTTCCAAGTGTGCATCTAGTGGAGAGAGTCTGCACAGGCTTACAGGACACTGTGGGAAAGCCTGCATTGAGTTGCATGGCCCCATGCCTCCCCCTCTTGTACCTCAAGGGCAATGGAGCCACACATAGGGAGGGGCTGCCATAGACGCTAACAGGTCTGTTTCCAGAAGGGACACGTGCATTTGTACATTCATGGTAACCTGTACCAAGGAGACACAGCAAAGGACACTGAAGACTTGCATATTTCCTTCTGCTAGGAGCTCATGCTTAGACAAGCCCTCTCTACCCGCAACGGTGGCAGCAGCAGCAGCAGCAGCAGAAGAGAATCCAGGGCTTTAATGGAGAGCAAGGGCTAGGGATGTGCTCTGTCGTTTGATGGTGCTTACAAGGGCCTGCAAACTAAAGGATACAGGAGCCTCTACATGCCTACCTACTGTACTTCAGTGTCTCCCAGACATATCCTCAGCATCTCTGAAAGGGCTGTGTATGGACCCAAGAAAGTCTTAATGTTGGCTATCACAACTAATTTTGGGGTGGGGTCTGTGGAACTTTTAATCTACTTTTGACTCTATGGACTTAGTAATTATCCCCAAATTGGAAGAGTGTTATGAGAATCATCTCAATATCATACTAGAGAATTATCTAGAGTGTTTGCTTGCTCTAGCCAATCAGGAAGCACAACTCTGCTTCACTGTTTACTATGGATAATGGCTCAGGACTGTACAGACCAATAGAATACAGGTGACTTTTGTCCAGCAGAGAAGTGATTTAAAGATTGTGGGTTTGTATGTTTTTGGTCATGAACCAGTCTGCTTTGATGAGATTATTTCAGCATTTTCTCCCATCACTGGCCATCCTAAACTCCTTTCATATTCATTTGTACTAGCTCGATCACCTTGCTCCTGAGTGAGCAGACTACATTGCCAACGGTGGTCACTATCCTGAGCTGGCTTAAGTGTCTATCATTTCGCTCACAACTTCTGCCAAGCAGAGATAATCTTCTGCTGGCAGGGCTCCTTTCCCAGGTATCCTTGAGTAATCAATAAGCTGCCCAACTATTTATGACACCCCCGAAGGAACAAAAATCTTAAACTTCATGAGCAAAGGCAAGCATTTAAAAATTTTTGGCAACTATATTTACTATGACTATATTTGTAACTCAATATATGCTTTCTTCCCCAAATAGTTATGATCTGTATATCTTTCCTATAGGATTTGTTCAGCCTAAACAAGGGCTGCTAATGCTATTTTAAGAGTAACAGGTCACTGCCAACATTGACGGACATGTGGGAGACGTGAGGGTGCCCCATGATGTCTATGCATACATGTTTGAAGTTCCGGAATGGCACAAACTGGACGATGTCTCGAAGGACAGGCTCTCCCTTGGGTGACCTTAGAATTCCATCATCACCGTCCAGCATCTGCATGTCACTGAAGTCGGCGTTCCCCACTCCCACGATGATGACTGACATGGGGAGGTGGGAGGCATGGACGATAGCCTCCCGAGTGTCAGCCATGTCTGTGATGACACCATCTGTCAGGATCAGCAGGATGAAGTATTGCTGGAGTCAGGAGTCAGATGACAGGTGGGAGAGAAAATAACAAGACAGTATCAGTTAGATACCTATATCTAAGTGGCCTCCTTGCAGAGGAACCATAGCAGCAGGGACAATAGATATTCTTGCTTATTTCTTCAACTTTTTATTAAGAAAATTCCAGTGAAAAACCAAAATAGCCTGGGCACCTCTGTGGGGTCATTACTAGGTATTAGCAATTATCAACATATGGAAAACCCTGCTTTAGTTACCCACCTACTTCATATGATTTTTGAAGCATATTCTGTATATCACAGCATTTCCATAAGGAATATGTACAAAGATGATAATTTTACTAATAAAACAATATTCTATATGTGAAATAAAAATTTATCACCCACTGAACAAAGCCACAGCGTATTTGTGCTTTGCTATATACAAAGCTTTTCCATATGATTTCAATTTCTGTCTTAAACTAAAACCTATGGTCTCAAGAAACATTCTCTGGTCACTCACACTCCACAACACAGGGTGTTTTCCACAAACGGTCTCCAAAGTAGATTCCAAGTAGATACCCTCCAGGAATCTCAAAAGTTCTGGCTCCTTTGATGCTTCTTGTTTACTCTTGTCTACCGATTTGGCTACTCTCCAAATGGACTGTTGGCTTTGGCCCTGGATGACTGTTATAGTTCTACTTCTAGACCATCACTGGCTGTCCCTCCCCAGTTCTACTACCCTTCACTTCAACTTCATGTTCGCTGACTCTGCTCACAACCTCACCAAAGCTGTTCATTATTCATCACTAGTACACTTAGGAAATTGTGTCTTCCAGTGTCTACCTTCTAGACAATCTCCCATCTTTTCAGTCTATCTGTTTGTCCTCTATCTTCCCATTGCCTTTAGAGAGACCTCAAGACCCATGTTTCCTCTGTATCTTTTCAGGTTCTCAGCTCTGCCTTACCTGATCTAAGCTTCAGGTCAACAACAGACACATGTTAGGCCTATGTAGGGTAGCCTTAAAGTCTTAAGGTCATGATGAATGGAGCCACAAAAAATTGTAGCATAATAATAATAATAATAATAATAATAATAATAATACTACAAAGCTCAATATAGGTAGAAGGCAGGAGACTGGGAGTCAGGAGAACTGGATTCCATGCTTCATTCTGTGATGCCTGGAATATCCTTTTATGCTTTGGTCTCAGATACTTTATTTCTCAAAAGCTGAGAGGGACAAGATCATTATATGGTCTCCTTCAGCTTGTAGACCTTTGAAAATCTAGAGCTGTTCTGTCTTGTGTAGTAGTTAGTAACCTCATTAAAATATTGAGCACTTCAAATTTGGCCAGAATAAAAAGAGGAGCTGAATTTTAAATAAATAATAGACCCAATTTAGCTATTAAACATTTTAAAAGTAAATTTAGAACAATCCAAATTAATATATGATATTTTTCATCCATCAACTTATAATATATAAATAAAGATCAGTGTTTGTCATAAATCACCACCCCAAACGGAGTGCATTAAATGTAAAATACATAAATATTTTAAAGTCTTAGTACAAAAATCTCCAAAATTTCTCATTCACAATTTTATGTGAGTCAGATACTAATGTGCCAATATGTTGACTAATTGGGGGTTTCTTATTAGTAAAGGATATAAAATGGGTCTTCTTGTTTCTTTTTACTTTATAAATGTAGTTACATCAGAGTTTAACATTGTATCTAGGACTTGTACTATATTCCCTTTGGATTATGATGATGCAAATCTCTGCTAGGAGATGACTGGTTAGAGGTCAGTATAATGGTTCTCCTAGCATGCATGTGAAAGATGTCCTGGCTCTTGGTTTTCAGCCTCCCTGCTCCCTCTCCATGTGGAGAGGCTGCCACAGGGCTGAGATGGGGATCGGAGTAAAGACTCTCACACCTGTCAGTGCAGGAAGAGCCACTGGAACTGAGAGCAGATGTTGTCCATCATGAGCATACTATGTTAGCACCACTGTGAGATGGGATGAAAAAGGTTTAGGGAGATTAAATGCATGTCAAACCCAAGAGGACTTTCTACAGAGTCTCAGAAAAATACCTGATCATTGCATAAGTGTGGGAGGCTAAGATGTTCTAGGCAGAGGTATTATAGCTCTAGTGAAGCACTTGTCAGGCACGGGAAGTCCTGGGTTTGGTCCTCGGCATTACAAAAACTAGTGCATGAGTAAGAATGAGCATAAACATGCTAACTCACAACAACAAAAGTTAAGGACACTTTGGAGTCAAGAAAATGTGAATATTCGTTTCTTCCAGGTTTAATGTACTAATCTTAATAAGCTACAGACTACTGTATTGAGCCAGATGGAAATTTCCAAATAGATCAGTAATAGCAGCTCATTTCAAAGAGAGCTCAGGTAAGTGCTCGTGTGTGAACTATTATCATCTATGACTATACCTGAGGTCTATGGAGAGGCATTTATACCCCTAGAAGAATTCTATTATATCAAAGAGAAAAATCCTATTGCAAGATCCCCTGACACAGCTTATCTAAAGGGCTTAAGCTCATGTCCCTTAGTAGTGACAACAAGGGACCCTAGACCACAGTGTCCAACAATGGGAGAAACTGCTAGAAAAAAGGTAAATTCTCTGCATTGCTAGGGGGTCCTATTTATCTGGTACTTTGTTTGTAGTTGCTTTATTACATGTGGTTCTGAATTTTGACTATTGCAGTCTCTTCAAGAGCAGATTCATCTGGTACTGGAGTTGTTAGTGATGGTCATCACCTCGTGTTGGCTTGGACTAGCACGAAATCCACCACGTGTGTCTTTGATATTGTCCCTTTACTTGTGTAGGCCCTGGTATCCTAGAAGGATTGAAAGCATCTACTCTTACAATTAAGCTGCAGAAAATTCCAAAGATATCACAGGTACTCTTGTGAACAAAGGAATAAGGACAGGCTTTCTCAGTTTCCCCTTGCCTGGTTTTGTAAAGAATGTGGTTTTAGTTTCATTGTTAAAAATCTGTGTTAGCTATCTTATAGCTAAATGTCCATGATGACGAACAGACGATATAGTTGAAGATGAGCATACATTTCTAATTTTCCTGTCTTCACTTCCTGAGTGATGATTTTATTATTCGTGTGCACCACCATACCTACACTATGTGGTACTAGGGATTAAGTCTGGGGATTTGTATATGCCAGGTAAGCACTCAGCCCACTGAGTTACATTGCCAACCCCTTAGTTATGTTTCCAAAGATCACTCCGGCTTTTGCATGAAGCATGATACACTTCATGGGGAGAGATGAAGTATAGAGTCTACTTAGAACTTGCTTTGGTTGTGAAAACAGCTGTTGGCCCTGAATAAACAGTGGTCATGAAGGTATTAGGAGATGCTAACACATGAAATATAGTTTGAAGATAGACTAGCATCATAACTTGCTGATCAACTGGATGGGGAGGGGACGTTAGCAGAATTTCAAGATAGCAGCCAGCCACTCTTACCTCCTAGTTAATGTCCCTGTGTGTTCTTTTTTCATACTTAGTTGGAATGGTCCATGCAATCAGCCGGGTATCATGAGATGATGGAGTGAGACTTCTGTGGTAAGTTATGAGACACAGTACTGCTCCTTTGTCATCTTTGGGATCACCTGGATGGGACTAGCTGCTATGCTATGGGAACCTTTAGTAGTCCTCCCAGGCAATGAGGAAATGAGGTCTCTGACAGAAACCAGCAACCACATGGCAGGCATACAACTAAGCCATCTATTAGCAGATCTTTCAGCTTCAGGCCACTCTTCAACCAGTATCTTAGTTGAAAACCTTGGGTGACCTAAGCCTGGGCCATGTAGACCAGCTGTGCTCTAGTCTCCAGTCCACAGAAAATGTAGAGATAATAAATGTTTATTGTGGTTTCAAATTGGTTAATGCTGTGTGACATTCAGCAAGAGGAAACGAGAAGAAAAGATACAAAGTAAGTCAAGGAACCCAGATTACTTCAGGGTTATAGCCTAAGCAACTAGTTGCATTATGATAGTGTAGAGACCAGGAAGACCAGGAGTTGAGCATGATACAATGCAGTGAATGTAGTAGATCCCACTATTGTGTGTCTGTGTTCAGGCAAAGAGGTAGATGTGGGTTTAATTAACTTCATCTTTCCTCAGATGAAGAGACTGAAGATAGAGAAGTTAAGCCATTTAGGAAAACTAGATTTGACTGTCAGGCTAAAATGGGCATTATGACCAAATGGTCAAAAGAGGCAGGGTGAACCCCTGACCCTCTCCTTACCGATGCCTCCTTGGTATTTGTCTCCTCTGAGGCTGACTTGGCAACCTTCTGAATGATGGGAGCGATGTTGGTAGGACCATAAAGCTGGAGCTTGGGAAGACAGCTCTGATAGGCTTCCACGACTCCTTGAATTCCTAAAGTGAGATTTGAAAAATTGACAGCTCCATGGTCCGTTCAAATATATTTGCTTACACATAAAAGCAACACTGACTTTCTCCAGGTAGTCTGCATCCATACCACAAGTAGGATCTCAAGACAAAAGGGAATATTAGGTCAGTATAGTGCTGCCTCCTCTCCCCGACTGAAATCAGATCACAATGGGTCATCAACAGCAACTGTTTCCATAAACTTCACCCCACATAAGCTTTTATTAGCTCACGATGGTTTAAGGAGGTAGAGGCTGCTCCCATTTCATGGGTGAAGAAGCAGAGGTTAAGAGAAACTACCCCAGTCCCAGAGAAAGTGAGTTACAGACTCAGCATATAAATCCAGGTGTTTGAGCTGAAAGAACCACTAAGCAAGTGCTTAGTGGCTTTAGTGGTCTGTTTGTTTGTTTATGTATTTGTTTATCATGTTGTTGATTTTAGAGTAAACACTGCCTGTAACTGTCACCGGACCTGTGACCATCTCTCCAGATATCATACCCAGTAAGGGCAAGGATCATTACTCATTCATTTCTGTATTCCCGCCAAAGGGCTTGTAGCAGTGTCAAGAACACACGAGTGTGCACACAACCTGCACACTCATAGGCTGGGTGTTATGAGATGTCAATTGCTCATTTAAGGAAGGGTGTTCACCCTGAGGCCACATGAACTCAGGAAATAGAAAAGCCTGGGATTCTGCTGGGAGAGGTACTTCTGCCTGTGCTGTTCTAGTTCTGCCTCACAGAAGACCATTATAAATAAATTGCCATTATAAATCCATTTTATTCACATGGATGCTGTTGTTACCCATGCTACTTTTGCTGTCCCCTGCTTTAGCTCTTCTTTCTATCCTTCTTAGTGCTGAAGCAGCACACTGCGCTTGATTTTGACCATAGGGAGTCACAGGAGTCACTGTTGAAATTGTTCTCTGTGGCCTGCCAATCAACCTGTGAACAATTTGAATGAGCAAGTCTGTTCCGTTCTGCCTTATACGGGTTTCTAACCTTACTGAAAACACTCTACCCACCCAGGCCAGCCTGAAACACAGATTCCTGTCATTCCAAAGGAAGACACCAGATTATTTTACTATGTGGAAGAGAAGCAAAGTGAAGCTGGATTTTTTTCTTTTGTTTTGTTTTTTAGGAGGGGCATACGAACTTTTGCCTAAGAGAAGGAAGTTTGATTTCCTTTTCAAAACCATCGGGGAGTTGAACTCTGAGAGTGTGAGATGGTAAACACTAGGGTATGTACCTCAGTCTCCTTTGGTGGGAAACCACCTTAGTATCTTTGGCTGTCTTTTCTTGACCTGGAAGCTCAGGGTTTCAGCGATGCTGGGGATGTCTGGAGAATAGAGGAGTCTAAACCAGAATAAACTGGGCTTGAGTGATGGGGGACAGGATAATGTAGATCCTGACTTTGAGGGCACTGTGTTCAGAGCCAATGATACTGATGTCATAGTCTTAGACAGTAAATGCCAAGTTCGTGAAAGAAACTGCAGAATGTTCTGCATACTTCACTACATCTCAACTAACTATGGTGTAGCTCATGTCTCCCTCAGTAAGGAAGACAGGAGTACGGACATTTATACCCTATAAACGTCAATGTCACTGCCGCAAAGGCTCTTGGCTCAGTTTGTTACTTCTTCAAGGCAGACGGGATCATCATTATCATTGTTCTCTGTGAGATAGTTCAGGAATTTCTGCCAGGAGAAAACAAAGTCAAATGGTCTAGACTGAGATGTTAAGTCTTTGTACTCTTCCTTGCACAAAACCTCGAAGGTATTTGTTCAAAGTCACCATTGTTAATGTGCTGGAATTGTCAAGTGACTTCCATGTTTCTCCCCTCCCCTTAAACTTGCACAGAGAGGAAACTGCGAAATCCAGGTAAAAAGCAGAGAAGCAGAAAGAGGAATGTCTCATCTTGGTTCATCATGGGCCATTCTCCCATTTAAAAAAAAAAAAAACCTAAAATGAAATTTTAATTACTGAATTAATTAATTTTAGTTAATTAACAGATTAACTTTGTTTTGGCTAGAGGAATCCATGACCTTGCTGAAAGCTCAATTTCTCATAGTCTTTTGTCTCTTCCGGGGTGCACGGGCCTACTTTATAATGTGTTTCTCAGTTCCCTGTGGAGCAGTGTGGCTTATTTGGGAGTTCAGAGCTGATTTCTGTGCTTTAGTAACCAATCTGCTGCACTGGTAGAGAGAAACTGGACCTGGAAAGGTGCACAGGGTCAGGTTCCTAGATACTGGCTTTCTTTTAAGTTCTGGCTTACCTGCACACTCCGGGTTGTCTTCATTAAAGTTGATTGCAAAGTCATGAGAGACCTAGACACCGTTGAAAATTTTAAAAGAGGAAGAAAGGAGAATTACAACTTGAATCCATTAAGGAGGCACTAGGGGTTTAAGGTTGGCAAACAAATAGCGTTACATTCATTATGAGTTAAGCAGCCAGTACCATTTTAAGCCATTATACAATCAATCTGAGATGAAAGGTGAATTCTCAGCTCCCTGTGGTGCTGAGGTGACAGGAAGATTTTCTAGGATCAGATAAATGCTCATAGGAGGGGGGAATGTAAAACATATTAAAAAAGAAAGAAAGAGAGAGAGAGAGAGAGAGAGAGAGAGAGAGAGAGAGAGAGAGAAGAAAAAACAAAAAAAGGCTTCAGAAAAAGTAACCTTAAATAGTTTCTAGATTCAAGTGGATACAGACTGAAGGGTTAAAGTTGAATGGGCGCTTACTTGTACCACCAATTAAAAAATAAAATAAAAAGAACTCAACTTAAGCTGTCTGATAGACGTGGTGTTGCTTCTAGAAGTGCTAGCTAAGCTGTTGACATTTAAGAATCGTTCTGATATACAGAATTACACTGCATGGGGGGGGGGATCTTCACGTACACACAGGTGAAATAGAGTGCCTTCTACTTCTGAAAAATAAGCGAATAAAGTCAAATACCCTGTAATCTTCCACCACAAACTTTCCTGCCTAGCTGTGCCTAAGCGTATGGTTAGACGACACGTGGCTTGCTATTTTCTTCCCCCTAAAATCTGATAAAAGAAATGGGATATTCTGGCATCTGGACAGTTTTATTAAATCAATTGGAATTTCATGGAAAATTACATTTCAAAGGCTATTTCTGATCATTGGGTCTCTTGGGCGCTTAAAAAAGTAGGTCACCTCATTAAAAGACAGATACCTCCTTTCTTAGTGGGAGGTCACAGGTGAAGCAGCTGGTGTGTGCCCACTGTCCCTTTATCCTCTGCAGATTCCAGACAAGTGAGTTGACTTCCAGCTGTCCTAGTTTATTTACCTCAAATTTTTCTTTAGCTTGTAAGATTTTCCTTTGTTACCCAGGCTAAGTACTGAACACACTAACATTGACAATATCTAAGGAGATCTGAATAATTATTGTTTGAGGTCTCAGAGTTAAATGTTTTGGGGGTTGTTTTCTTAGTCTCTTATACTGATTGTGAGTTAAACCAATCAACCCTGCAACTGGGTCTTTGAACAACATACCCACCACACCCTGCACATCCATAGCTACATAGAGAGCAAGGATGTCCAGTTACAGAGTCTACGTCCACTCACTCACCGTGTACTCCGGGGGTATCCTGGCGCCAAACCCAAAAGCCGGGAACATTTTGTCACTGGAATTAAATAAAAAAGAAGCTGCTTCATTTATTTATCTAAGAAGGAAGAGAAACAGGAGTCTGCGTAACCTCACCAGGGCATGCAGCCTAGAAAAGTGCTGACTCATGCAATAACGTGGATAATCAAAATTAAGAAACAATCCTTAATGTTCATTACTGACTAGTATACAGCCTCTTCCCTTAAGGTTTTTTGATAGTCAAGAGCAAATGGACCCCGGATTTGCACAGATCCCACCCCCCTAATTCTGACTTTCTGTTTTCTTGAAATAGTGACGAGGAATTTGGCAACTCCAATCGTTGGCTGAATTAGGATATTCCATCTATAGAATTTTTTAAACACTAAAGGAAGAGCTTAGTCAGTCTCTCTCTCTCTCTCTCTCTCTCTCTCTCTCTCTCTCTCTCTCTCTCTCTCTCTCTCTCTCCCTCTTCCTTCCTTCCTTCCTTTCTTTCTTTCTTTCTTTCTTTCTTTCTTTCTTTCTTTCTTTCTTTCTTTCTTTCTTTCTTTCTTTCTTTCTTTCTCTCCACCCCTCTCTTTCTTTCTTTTTGCTTTTATTTGGTGTAGGCAGATATCTTGAGGAGATATATCACTCAAGACCATGCTGCTAATTAGAATCAGGGTTCAAACACAGACTGTCCAGAATCTAAGGAGCCATCAGAAGGCAGCAGGGATATTGATAACTGCTACCCGACAAAGCATGGTCTCATTTATAGGATTCATTGTATCCTCCACATTCAGTTTATACACAAGCAACAATAAATTATTTGCAGGTTTTTTCTTACTTCTTGAACTCAAAGGGACATTGTATTTTATGTTAATATCTTTTGGTTGTTGTGGTTGTTCTTAGGTTTCTTAGGCTAGGACTCACTCTGTAACCCAGACTGGTTTGAAAATTGTACGTTAATCTAGACTAGCTCCTAACACATGGCAGTTCTTCAGCATTGCAGTCATGTGCTGTAGTGCCCAGCTCTATCACCGTCTTACATCTCACCATCCCCCCGCCCTGACTGCCCTGCACTCTCCTCACCTGAACCACTGAACTTTTCATTTCTGCAGAATAAGGAACCAATGACAGATAATCCATGCATTTGACTCAATAAGTCATCCCCATGTACAGCATAATTCCCATGATGAGTTATGAGGCTCACACCTGCCCTTTATTTACCTTGGTCTCTTGTATGAGCATTAGAATTTGTTTCCTGATTTGTAGGGTCATGTGTATTGTACTTTAACCCTAACGAAACTGCTCTGTAGTTAAGAGGATGGGGAAAGGAGCCATTACTGACACCACTGCCCCAGGTGTCAGATAGACTTACCCACAATCCTGGGAGCTCTACTTATTCTGTTCTTAGAAAGACTGAGGCAAAGTGATCACTAGAGTGTATCATAGGATTCTCAAACCCCGCTTTTCTAATTACCATTGTAATTTAATAGCTATATGTAGTATTAAACATCTACTGGCAATGGCAGTACCTAGGTCCCTGAGTAGGCAACAAATAAGACATTTCTTAAGCAACATATGTGCTGCTGTGGTGTTCTGGAATATTGAACCTAGGCAGAAGCCATTCTCCTCTTGAGTCATTTGCCTTTGGCTTGTTTGTTTGGTTGGTTTTGTTTATTTTTTCTTTCCTATTAAGAACACAGCTGAGGTTTGTTCTTGGAGCAGTTTCTACATTTTTCAGTTCTTTATAGAATTAGTCAAGGGACCAAAAAAAAAAAAATTCAGACTGGGGTTTACCACTGAATATCTTTTGTAGGAAAAGAAGACATTAACCCTCCTTCTGAGCAAACTCAAGCAAATTCGAGAAAATCAAAACAGTGAAGCCAGATTCTCACCCAGCCCTTCCTAACTGACTTAGAAGTCCTTAGCAACTGATGACAGCTTTGACAAAACCTTCCAACACAGTCAGGTCCACACAGATAAGGTTACAGATTTTGAGTTTTCTAAAGTGAAGGTTTAAGTCCTCCACAAAACCACACACTCCCTCGTCTCTTCAGTGCTGTGTCAAGCCGGGCTTTGTTGTACCTTGCATCTAGCACCTATTAGAGGAAGTATTACTGCTAACAAATAAGAGACACAAAACCTCCTGGTCCTTGGAGAGGTTGAAAGACTTTGCCTCAGCACTTCCTCCTTAGCTTAAAATGAGTGGTAGACCAGGGTGGATCTTTCTGGCTAAGTGAGAAGACTTCTGGTTTTCTCTGATGGATATTCTCTCTCTCTCTCTCTCTCTCTCTCTCTCTCTCTCTCTCTCTCTCTCTCTCTCTCTCGTCTTTTGAGGGGAGGGTAGATCTAATGGTGTATGTATTTCCAATCACCAATGCTGTGGTTTAATGATATTCTTTTTAAACCTGCTAACCCCCCTTGGGGATTGGAAGTTTGCTGAGCTTCATGAACTGTTATGTAATTGAGTTTCCAGAGTAAGGGTAGGGGAAATGCCTCACCTACAAGGAGAATAATTAATGCGCCAGAAGGTTGAATTCTCTGAAGTCAGCCACTAGAAAGCTTCTACCTAATAAATATACTGAAGAAAAAAATTCCAAGCCTAGCACAATAGATTTAAAGTCCATTCCTCCTGTTTAAAAATAAAATGAGTCAGAAAGGAGTATTATGCAAGGACTAAGGGAAGGAAGTTGAACAAAAGAAAACTTTAATACAAGAACATGTCAAAGAAGTCAGAACCGGATGCATTGGCCACCAAGCAAAAAGGCCATTAGCAGCTGTTGAGAGAAAAAGACAGGCAAACACTGTCCACCGGGAAATTTTAGAAGCGTATTTCCACACTGGGAAAGGCCACATTTCTTATTGTCAGAATAAAACAACAGTAAACACAATAAAAGGGCTCCTGTCCTTCCATAGTGACATGCCAGCTGCCCTTAGTGTCACAGGAAATGGCCATATCCAAATATCTCCATGTGAGAGATTGATTTTAAGCACATTTTCCAGTCGCTCCATTAAGGAAAACACTGAGCTAAAGCAAGGGGTTAATACAATACACGTCTAGGGAAATTACCCAATCTACATGCCAATGGGGGTCAACTTAAACAAGATGGCCTTTCAGAACACTCGGGTGTTGGATGAAAACATTTCTCCAGTCATCTTAAAACAAGCCCAGGGATAGAAATGCAGCACTCTTCTGGGGATATGAGAGTGTGGTTTTCTTTTGGAAAAGAGAAATCAGTATTCAGTTCTTCTACTTCTGCGTTCTATGCTGAACACATCCAGCTCTTCTGGGAGCATCTGTGTCGGCAGTGCTTGGTCTCATTCATGCATCTCCCTTCACAACTACTTTTTTCTTTACCTCTTCTGAGTCTCATCCACCATGCTGCCATGCCGTATTGCTTCAGAGAATAAAGCCTGAATATCAAGTAAAGGAGCTATTCTACTGGATTCAAGTTCTGATGACTGAGTACCAAGATTCAACTCTCAAGCACAAGATTCAAACATTGGGTAATGGAAAAATTCTACACAATTCAGTAGCAACCAAACCTTCTGCAGTCCAGGTTATTGTCCATTTTCATTTTAAAAAGTACTTGGGAGTGTAGCTCAGTCGTAGAACATCTACCCACTATGTAGAAGATTTTGGGTTAAATCTCTAGCACTGTGTAAAGAACTTAGGATGTATTACTGTCAGTTAGTAAGTTCTTAAATATATGTTTTGGGGGACTGGCAAGATAGACCAGTGGGTAAACGTGCTTGACACTGAGTATGACGACCTGAATTTGATCTGTTCTTGAGACATACATGGTAGAAGCAGATAAGCAGCTCCTAATAGCTGTCCTCTAACCTCCACATCTGTAATAAATAAATTTAAAGATTTTTTCCCCTTTTAATAATCTATGTGTGTGTTTGTCTGTCTATTAGCATGTGCACATGAGTACAGGTTCCCATGGAGGCCAGAAGAGGGCACTCTCCTGGAGCTAGAGTTACAGGTGCTGCGAGCCTCCTGCTGTAGGTTCTGGGAACTGAACTTAGGTCCTCTGCAAGAGCAGCATGTGCTCTTAACTGCTGAGGTAGCTATCTCTTAATTACTCAGCCATCTCTCCAGACTCCGTACCCAAAGTAGTTTTTTGATTACTGACTTTTATTTTTTGGGGTGGTGGATGGGTTATATCATTGAAAGAATTGAGCAATGCTGTAGGCTAAAGATCTACATCCACATATCTATTTACACACACACACACACACACACACTGACAATGGCAAAAATGGGTCAGAATTGATGCTAGATTCTGCATTGTGAGCAATCTAATTCATAGATACATAAACAAGCCAGACTCTCTCCCTCCAACCCCACACACACTATCTGTTTGTTGAGAGCTGATTTCCAAAACCGTTATATTGCCTACATACACTGAATTAAGCACTGAAATTCTTAACATATGAATGATTCTTAGATCAATAATATTTAAATGACACCTATAATAAAAATTTAATTCAGAACTATTTTTAGAATAGATTGAATGGAATCATTTTAGAAATTAAAATTACATGCATAAAATATCTTTGTTTTCCTTATGGACATGTATGACACAGTAAGCAGAAAAATGATTTCAAAATGAATTTGTAAAGATACATAGGAAGGCTAGAGAAGGAACTTAGAGAGTAGAGTGTCTGGCATGTACAAAACTCTCGGTTTGATTCTTTCTGACACGACATCAAAAATATGTTGAACAGTTTTTAAAATGACACATTGGAACCAAATTCTATGAAGGAAGGAAACAGAAATAAAGTTGGTGAAGAAACAAAATTCTCATTTGGAACTGAAGAGCTGGTTCAGATATTTTTTGTAAGAATAAAACAACAGGGTAATGGCCAACAGCTAGTCTGCATGGCAGCTACAAGCGTTACGTTAGTGCTTATTTTTATGTATTTAAGTACTTATGACACTCCAGAGTTTTCAATTCTTATCACTATTTAAACTCACGATGACGAAAGTTAGATGTTATCAATGAAAGAGTGTGTGAGGGCTGTGCATTTTTATAGAATCCTTTTAAAGAC